ACAGGGAGGCAGGGGAGACAGGGTGCTTACAGTGGTCTAAGCACCACGGAGATGAGCCAAGTAAAGGAGTCGGGGAGCAGGGGTTTGGGGGTCCGCATGAGGGATCAGTGAGTGCAAACCCTAAAGATGGAAGAGATGGTGAGGAAAAGGCTAAAAAGGCTCAGGGCTGAGGCAGGAGGGCCCAGCTGAGCCGCTGGCATTTTATTAGAGAGGCAACGGGAACCGGCCACTGGGGTTCCGAGGGGCAGCCGGATCCGCCTCCGTTTTAGGAAGCTCTCTGGCTGCTGGGCCAGTGGGACCGGGGCACCAGGGGAGAGCCAGGAGGGAGCCCCAGTGAGGACAGGAGAGGGGGGCTCTGGCTATTTCAGAGCGAGGCAGGCCGAGCTGGCCAGTGGGACGGCATGTTGTTGTTGGATTGTATCTCAGACCTTTTGGCCGGTCTGCCCCGTTAGACGGTTACTCCATGAGGGCCGAGCCGGTTGGTCCTGTCCAGGGCGGTTCCCCAGGACACAGCACAGGCACTGGATAAGCCCGAAGGCGCGGTGATGAGTTAGGGAAGGAGAGCATGAGCGGACGATGATGACACCCCGGTTTCTGGCTCGGGAAGGGAAGGGCGGTGGTCACACGCCAGGGCAGAGTGGGAGTCAGAGCCCAGGGGCCGGGGAGCGGTGGAGGGGCCCGGAGGGGCCGGGCAGGCAGGGCGAGTGGCATGGAGAGAGGGAGGGGAGAGCCAAAAATTGGCTATGTGGGTCAGTATTGTACCTACAGCATGGAAAGCAGGCTCTGGAACAGAAAAAAGGCTCACTGTGTTTTTGCTGAATGAATGAATGAATGAATGAATGAGTGAATGGAGTTGAGAGGAGAGGTCTGGGCTGGAACTGTCACCGTGGCCATCATGCCGGGAAGGTGTTTAAGGCTGTGGGAGTAATGAGGTCACCCAGGAAGGAGAGCAGAGAGAAAGGAAGGGACCCTGCGGGCACACCACCTCCCCAGGCCAGGTGTTGCTGACTTGGGCAGCAGAGCCAGCAATTCCAGGAGACTGTTAGGGAGCAGCCCAGAGGCAGGCAAAGTGGCCGAGGGCGGGGCTGGCCCACAGCCCAAGGGGGAAAGGAGGAGCTTCAGATGCCAACAGAGCAGGTCCTGACCTTGACCTGCAGCCACAGGTCTCCTCCTGCCTCCCTTTCAACTGAGGCTGCCCAGAGAGCAGGCCCCAGAGTCCCCGGCGGCCCTTGAGGCCCTCAGCAACACATACCGTCTGGGCGCAGGTGTGGCCACCACAGGCCCAGGGGCCGAGCAGCTCGGTGCCCCCTACTGGGCGGGTTCCAGAGTGCACACACAGGGCCTGGAGCGGGCACGAGGGCACGAAGGCAGGTACTCACCATGATGAGGCTGTGGGGGAGGCGACCTGGGTACCGGTTAACTCAGGCCCAGGGAATCCGGGTACCCGACGCCGCCTCCACCCCGCACACACCAGGGGCTGGCCGGGGAGAGGCAGGCCAGGGAGAGGCTGGCGAGTCTCGCAGGGAATTCCCGAGTGAAGGACTTGGAGGGAAATCATCCCCGGAAGGCCTCATCGAATCCTGCTGGGCCCTGGGCCTGGGCCCGCCTCCACCACCAACCAGCTGGGTGGCCCACGTGCCTGCGAACACCTCCAGTTGGAAGAGGGCTGCTGACTACCTTCCACTCGGGGCGGGAATTCTCCCCACAATCCCCGGGCATAGGACCACCCGGCGTCTCCCCACACGTCCGGGGGGGACCTGCCCGGTGCACAGCCCTGCAGAGCTGTTAGAGGTATCTCTGCCCGGCCGGAGGCTCCGAGGCTGAGCATCCTCTGTGCACCGAAGGGCTGCTGTTCGGTTCCCAGTCGGGCACACACCTGGGTTACCGTTCGTCCCAGGTGTCTCTCCTTTCCGCTCCCTCTCTCCTCTCCTCCCTAAGCATGTCCTCAGGTGAGGACCGGGAAAGAATAAAGAAAGGTCCTTTCCAAAGGCCTGGAAGGGCCCACACAGGATGGGAGCGGTGTCCCCTGGGAGGAGAGCGGGACTGAGGGAGGTGGCGGGCTCCCTCTGTGTGTGCGATTCCTTCGATGCTGCGTTCACTGTGCCAGGGCAAGGCAAAGAGAAGGCTCTTAACAGATGAGGAAACAGAGGCTCGCACAGCTCCAGCCACCTGCCCCAGGCCACACAGGGAGAGACGGACTCAGGACTCGAACCAGAGTCCCTCTGACCCCCGAAGGCAGTCTCCATCACCAGTGCCCCGCTCTTTAACCGGCTCCCTCCCTCAGGCTCCCCACCAGCTTCCGGACCAGAGGAATCCCAGCCTGCACCCCCCCTCCCGTTTCTGGAAGGAGGGAGGGGTTCTCCCGCTTCTCACTGACTCTCCGCCCTCATGCACCCGGAGCCTCTCCCCTCCAGGGGTCATCGGGACCCCGGCTGCATCTCCTGGTCTCGGGCTGCTGGCTGGCTCTCTGGCCCTGGCCATGAAACGGTCCCACACGATCTACATATAAACCCGGCCATCTTGGGCGTGGGCCCTGGTGCCTAACGTCAGGGCGGAGCCAGCAGTGCGTCCCACCCCATTAACACCGGCTGCAAATGGCTTCTCCTGTCTGGGGGGAGGGGGTCAGAGGGGAGAGGGAGGGTCAAAGCCCCGACTTGCCCTCCACAGCCGCCCAGGAGAGATCTTATCTTTAATTGACAACTGGCCGCCTGCCATGCCTCCCTCTGGCCCAGGCTCCAAGCCCAATTCTCCCTTCGCTTCAGGAACAGGCAGGCTTCCCTCGCATCCTCCCTCCCCCTTCCCCCTCCCCCGTGTCCTCCCTCCCCCCCTCCCCCCTGCTCTGTCCTCTGTCGGTGTGGCTGGATGCAGAGATGGCAGAACTCTGGGGAGAGAGCCCGAGAGCTACAGGAGAGGGTGGGGCGGGGACGGATGCTGTGGTGCATCTACCCCTGCCCCCTTTCTGCAGACAGGGAGGCTGAGGTCGGCGAGGCTGCCCCAGGCGACTCACCTAGTGAGCGGCAGGTGCAGACTCTAAACCGAGGCCCTGTGGCTCTGTGATGCCCGGAGTAGGTGTAAGAAGTCAGACAGGAGTCAGGAGACCAGCCAGGCTGGTGTGGCTCAGTGGTTGAGCGCCAGCCCACACGAACCAGGAGCTCACAGCTTGATTCCTGGTCGGGGTACATGCCCCGTTTCAGGCTCAGTCCCCAGGGGGAGGGTGTGTGCAAGAGGCAGCCGCCTGATGCTTCTCTCATCGTGAATGTTCCTCTCCCTCTCCCTTCCTCTCTCAGAAATCAATAAAAACGTATTTTTTTAAAAAGAAAAAGAGTAAGGAGAACTAACACACACCCAGACCTGGCTACGGAACGCACAGGGCAAAATGCAAGCCCAGGGTCCCTCCAAAACCATCAGCCGTTCCCGTCAGCGGCAGCTGAGGTGCAGTCAAGCGTGGGCCCTTGTGAGCAGCTGCCCAGGCCACAGGCCCTGCGGTGCCCTCACGTGACAGCGGGGGGCGGCCCTGTCACTCCCCACCACCCCGCCCTCTCCGGGCCCTGGCGGCGCTCCTGGCCCGGCCCTAAGCGGTCCCGGCTGTGCCACCAGCCCCTCGCCGGTCTCCGTTCACCAGCCATCCGGGCCTCGCAGGCTCTGGCATCCCCAGGGCCCTGGCCCACATAAGGTGGTGCGACTTGGGGGGGGGGGGGGCCTGCACAAACCAGCAGGGCACTGGCTGCCTATCCAGCAGTCACTCCTCCCCGGAGGCCGCGGGCAGGGGCCTCAAAACCCGGCTGGAGGCAGAGGCGGCTCAGGCTGTGACCTTGGGCGGTTCAGGTTCCTCCTGAGCATCCGTGTCTCCCTCCGAGTGGCTGGTTCCTGGTGGGGGTGGGGTCACAAGGAGGGGGTTGCAAGTCTCAGGTGTCGGGATGGGGGCCCAGGGAGGTCCCCACAGACGCGAGCGGGAGCGGAAGGAGAGGCGGAGGCCGAGGTCACACGCAGGAGCAGGGCAGCTCCAGATGTCTTTATTGAGGGGCGAGCACAGCATGACAGTCGAAGGCATGCAGACAGGGTGACAGGGCCCTGGCCTAGGCGTGCCTCAGACACACAGGAGCGGGGGAGTGGGCGGGGGGGGGGGGGGCAGGGCGGGCTGGGCGTGGGGAGGGGGTGCCGAGGGAGGGGCAGAGGCCAAGGGCGCAGGGGTCCCCCGGCCTCCGCTATTGCACGCGTCCTCTGGCTGCGGCCAGGAAGTACAGTATTGCTACTGGTCTCCGCTCGCCCGAGGCTTCCCTGCTCAGAGCCCTGAGCCCGGGGGCAGACAGGCCCCTTCCCCGCCTGTCTGCCCGGCAGCATCATGGGAAACACATGGATGAGGGAGACGGAAAAACCAAAGATTAAAAAAAAAACCCAGATGCCTCCTCAGTCAAGGACGCAGGTAACGGGGGAAAGGGGTGAAGGAAGCTGTAGAGAAGCCCCTGGAAGTCCCCCCACAGCTGGGGCGTGGGGCAGGAGGTAGAACCCCAATCTGGGGTGGGGTGGGGCTCGTGGGGCAGTGACCCCGGAGGCAACCTGACCTTGCACAGGCCACGGGCCCACGGGGGACGCCCCTACAGGGCGGGGCGGGCGGTTCCCAGGCTCACTCTTCCCGGGACATTCCACGCACAACACGAACACGGGGTCAGGGGAGGAGGGGAAGGGGGGCCTGGGGGAGGGGCAGGGCTCGGGGAGACAGCCTGACGAAGACAGACCACCAATAGCACGTGCACCACACACACGAGAACAGCATGTATGAACATAGAGACTATGTGTGCATAGACAGCCCTTCAATCACAGCAGGGCACAAGGCGGGGCCGGGCGGCTCCGGGCCCCGAGGGTCACGCGGGGCGGGAGGGGCTCCGTCAGTCCCGCGCCAGCACGTCTTGCCCGGCGAGAGGTGCTTGCCTGGGTTCCAGAGTCCCCCTAAGCCTCTGGCTGTCTGTCTGTCTGCCTGTCCCTCTCACGCTGCTGCCGCTTTAAGAGAGGGTGAGGACTTCGGCCTGGGCATAGTTGGACGAGAGGGCGTCTTGGCAGGTCTCTGCGTTAAAGAGCACAGGAGTGAGACACCGGCGCACACTGTCAGCCCAACACTGCCTCCGGGGGGGCGGAGGGCGAGGCGTTCAGCAAGAGAAAGAGAGTCGCAGGGAACGGGACTTCAGGAGGAAGGCGGCTGCCGGGAGGCTGAGGGCCGGAGAGCAGGCCGGGAGCAGAGCTGGACGGCACGGGGACACGCGGCTCAGAGCCAGGGAGGCAGGACGGGTCCCGGTCTGCATCCCTGCACGGGGCAGAGGGAGAGGAGCCCAGGAGAGAGGGACCCCGCTCTGCAGCCCGGCACAGGCAGAGGGGGAGCGCCTGCTTGGCCTGTCACCCCTGAGCCAGCACCCGGCTGCTGCCTGCCCACTTGGGTCCCCCCTCCCCCCAGCCCCAACCCCCCAGGCTCCATCTGCCACCACCACCTGGGGCCACTCATGGATCCATGGGCTCAGCCTGGCATCCCCAGCCCCTTCCTCCTCAGGCAGGCAGAGCCCCGGGGCTGGAGGCTGCATGCAGACCAGGAGGGCTGAGGGGCGCGAATGTGCCATCCTTGTTGGAAAAACAGACCCAGCTGGTCCCCCCCCCCCGGGCTGCGAAGTGGCCTCCGCCCCGATACAAACTGTACAAACTGAGCGTGGGGCGGACAGCTCCCAGGCCGCCCCCTGCTCTGCTGGAGGGGCAGGGCCCAGCTGTGGAGGAGAGGCTTCTAGAAGCCAGGGATCGGGGACAGGTCCAAGTCAGGCTCCAAGGTGAAGTGCCCTGGGCTGCCAGGCTGTGGGGGAAGGGCGAGGAGAGCTTTCCCCGGGGAGGGAGGGAGGTCCGAGACTGGGCTCTGCAGGCAGCCTACCCCCCCCCCCCCGCTCCTGCCCCCGCCTGCAGGGCCCAGGGTCTGTCAGCTCCATAGCCTGCTGTGCCTTCCCCAGGGCCCCCGGAGGCCAACGAGGTGCTGAGAGCTCAGGGGAGCAGACCCCTGCGCTCTCCATCACCAGTCGCTGGGTTGGGGTCTCCCCAGGGGGCGGGGAGGGGCGGGGAGGGGTGTGGGGAGCCCGTCTCCCAAGCACTAGGGGCTCCAGCCTGGCACTCCTGCCTCCCGCCGCCCAGGGACATCTGTGCCCACCACTGGGGTGCCATGAGCACACCGTGCCCGTGGGAGGGAAGGGGGCGGTGGGTGCCGTGGAAACGGGCTGCTGACAGCGCCAGGGGAGGGCTGCCACCGAAATAGCCGCCTCAGCTCCCCGAACCAGGCCGCCGGGCGGGGAGAAAATAGCCGGACGCCCGGCTCGTCACGTCCCCGCAGAACCAGCCCGGGTGCCAGGGTGCCTGGGAGCCAGGAGCCCTGCGGGCAGGACCCAGCCTGTCCCCGTGAAGGAGCAGCTGGGCCCTCGCTCTCGGCCCTGCTCTCCATCCCGATCCCAGGGCTTCCCTGTCCCTGTCCCTTAAAGGAACTGCTCCCTGGGTCTTCCCCACTCTTCGGGAGACACTTTACTGGGAATGGCAGTGGGAGGCAGGCCCCCCGAGACCACAGCAGGGAACAGATCTTCTGGGAGGCGTGCCCTGAGTCTGCCCAGGGCCGGAGTGGACACTCAGTGGGGTGCAGGAGTGCTGAGTGGGGTGCAGGAGCGCAGTGAGCTGACCTTTGCCCCCAGTCCGCCTTCAGGGGTATCCCAGCGTCCTCCCGAGCCCCGTCCTGCCATGTGCATCCTGACCCACCCTGGAGGCGCAGACACGGCCACTCCTGAGTCATTCCCTCAACCAGCTGTGTAATCTGACTAAGAACTGTCAGCTCTCCTCCCCATCAGGAGGCCCTGGGCTGCGGCCCCTCGGCCTGGGCTGGTCCTGGCAGCCTAGGGCCCACTCTGCCTGTGCCAGGGTCCCCCTGCTCTGTCCGTGCCAGGGTGCCCCTGCTCTGTCCCGCACTGCCCCTCCTCGGCCCCTGCCAAGGAGCAGCCCTGCTCACACGGTGCCTTACAGGCCTGTGTGCTCCCGGCTCATTAGGTAAATGAACACACTTAATTAGAGGAATGAGATGAGGCCCGGTTCTGGCAGCAGCGCAGAGTGCGGGGCTGGGTGGGAGCGGGCGGGCAGGGCTGGGCTGGCAGGGAGGCCGTGGAGGGGGCGGGAGGGACCAGCTTGGAAGCGGAGGAAAGCAGCACGGCGAGGGGGCGAGGCAGGGGCGCAGATGGGGTGTGGGTGTCCCCCGGCGAGGAGGGCCTCCCCGCACCCCAGGCCAGAGCTGGGGAACACCCCCTTCCCTGAGGGTGGCCGCCGGCAGAGATGCTCCTGGGACAGGCAGCCTTAGCCCTTGCTGGTCTGGGTGTGGGATGGACAGACAGACAGACAGGGACACTGGTTCCTGGCTGAAGGCCACAAGGAATGGAAATGTTTGTGATGAAGATGGGACCCTGTGGGGGAAGGTGGGGCTCAGAGACACAGGATGAGGGGCCCTGAGAGTAACCCCCTCTGCCCTCAGGTCCAAACCTGAGCATTGTGGGGTGGGGGGTGAATGCTCCCGCATCCCCCGGCTCCCCGAGGCCCCGCGCGTGCGCCTCCCTGTGTTTGGGGGGCCCAGGGGCAGGAGGGCCGGAGCGGCTACGGGGCCGTGTGTCTGGGCGGCGGGCTGGTGAGGGGGTGAGGGGGGAGCGAGAGCAGGAGCTTTCGTGGAGAGTAGGGCGAGCTGTATCGGGGCGCCAGCGGAGACAGCCCCAGACTGGCTCCGGCGGCTGCGGCTAGGTTGCTTAGACTCCGGGACTTTTCTCGGCCTCGGTAAAGAAAAGGCACAGCGGGGTCAGAGGGCGCGCTGCTCACCTGAGCGGCTCCGCGGCATCCAACTCCAGGCCGCCCAGCCGGGGGAAGGCTCCCTGGCCGCCTGGGCCCCTGCGGGTGGACTCCAAGGCCACACCGCCCGCTGACCTCTGCCTGCCCTGCCCCCCTCCAGCTGCACAAAGGTTCGGCTCCCCACTTTCAGAAGCCCTGCCGCCGCCTCCAGGCAGCCCTCCCTCTGACGCCCGGGCAGCTGAGGGCTCACAGGGGCCCGAGGGGCAGGCGGAGGCTGTGCCCCGCGCAGGGAAGTGCGAGCGGCGGGCCGGGCGCGGGGAGAAGTTGCCGAGCGCGCAGGCACCGCCTGTTTCCCGGCAACCCACCTGCTCCCGCTCGCGGGTCCGGCCCATTGGCTGAGCCGCACGCTCGTTGCCAGGAGGCAGCGTGGAGGCATCTTGAAAAGAGCAGCCAGGCCTCAGAGCACCCGGGGGTGCGGTGGTGGGACACAGTGGTGGGGTGCACCTGCTCCCCATCCCTCACGGTGCCCCCTCCGCTCCGTCACCTCCACGGAGCCCCTCACAGCACTGGGGTGACAGCAGGGCTGCTCAAGTCCTCCGTGAGGGTGGGTCCCCTCCTGTCTGGGCTGGGCCCTGAGTGAGCTGCAGCCAGAGCAGCACCTGGTCTGTCAGGACACAGTGGGAGTCACTGCACGCTGCGGGGGGGGGGGAGGGGGGCGGGGAGGAGCAGCAGGAGGCTCTTCCAGAGCCAGAGGATTGGGGTGCAGGGGCCAGGGGTGACCGGAGGGACACGGGAGAGGGTGCAGCGGGCTGAGCACAGCCGCCTGGGCCATCTCCCTCCAGCTGCCGATCGCTCCTGCTTCTGACACCCAGCAGGACGGACGCGGACGTCCACCCTGCAGGCCTGGTTAGGGTCAGGGCACCCGGGATTCTGCAGGAGCAGTGGTGCTGGGAGGGCCGGGAACAGGGCCTGGGGAGGTGGCCCTGGAGGCCTCATGGGGTGGGCAGGCCAGGGGCCATCCTTGGGGGGACTGTGGCATCGCAGGCTACTCCTGCAGCCTCACGGGTCTGGGGTTGGGGGACAGTGGGAAGTGGCGGGGGACTGGGCTGGAGGAGGCTGGTAAGAAATGGCCCGAGAACCAGGGCAAGGCTTTGTTATGGGGATCGGGGTTGATTCGGAAACTAGGCAGAGTGTGCAGGGCGGTGAGGCCACAGGACAGGGAAGACACACACACACACACACACAGGACAGGGAAGACAGACACACACACACATACACACACACACACACACACACACAGGACAGGGAAGACAAACAGACACACACACACACACACACACACACACGACAGGGAAGACAGACAGACACACACACACACACACACACAGGACAGGGCCTGGGGAAGGAGAACCTGGTCCTAAACCCCCTGGTCCCCAGCCACTGCTGCCCCCCGTCCCCCCGCCATCATTCCCGCCCCCCAGGCCAGGAGCCAGCTCCACCCCCACTTCTGCCGGGGCCTGTGCGGGGCTGGAGCCTGCGGATGGCGCTGCAGCCCTCCTGACGGGAGGCCATGGCCGCCTCTGTGCACTTCCAACCCTTCAGAACACACCTAGGAGGGAGCCCTACCCTGCCTGCCCCCCTAACTACCCCCCACCCTAGTCTCCCCCTCCCTGTCGCCCTCTGGCTCTCCTTGTCACATCCGGGGCCTGCAGAGCTGGGGCTGCCCCTCCTGGGCTCCAGGCCCCCAGGCAGGACGGAGGAGGGGACCTCACACCGTTCTTCCCGACTCCTGAGGGTTGTTGGGACCGCTTACTTGGGGGGGCTTGGCCGGGTCTAAGAGAAAAGCAGGCAGTGACCCCGGGAAGCCAGGCCTGAAGGTCGCAGCAGGCACCCCAGGAAGAGAAGTGATGGGTCGGAGGAAGGGCAGGGACCCCCGCTCCCGTGAACCCCGCTCCCAGGCAGCACTTACTTTCCCCGTGGGCACTGGGGTACGGGCCTTGTGTGCCCCCTGGGATGCTGTGGGCTTTCTAAAGCCATCGGCGCTGGGAGATCAGGGTCCCCATCCTAAGAGTCGGGGTGCATCCAGGGAAGAGGAGAGGATGGCCACGGCCTCAGGGGAGGACCCGGGGGCTCCCCGCCCGCCAGCCTGGGAGCCTCACCTTTCCGGACGCTGCCGTCGGCGCAGGCATAGTCCCCGGCGCTGAGCAGGAAGCAGGCGGCCGCCTTCTTGTTCCGGTCCCGGGTGCCGGCCCGGCGCAGGCCCCGGCGCTCCTCGGGGCTGGGGGCAGCGGCCAGGGGCTGGGTGAGGCCCGCGGCCTCCTCGTCCGACAGCATGGCGTTGGCATCTCCATTCTGCTTGGAGTCTGGGGGGCCAGATAGAGGGACGTGCTGAGCGCTGCCCGGGCCTTCCTCCCGGTCACACCCCCCCAAGGAGGGGCCCAGAGCATGGGGCAGGGTCTTTCCTGGGAGATGGGGCCACAGATGCCCAAAGCAAGGACTCCCCGAGTCTGCTGCCCTGTGAGACTGCTCTCCCTCCCCCAAGGCCACAGACTGCTTCCTCCTTGGGTGTCGGGCTCAGGCTGCACCTGAGGAGCTGGGTCCCCTCAAAGGCCGCTTGGCTTGTCGGGGTGCAGGTGGCACTGCCAGGGCCACACCATGGGGTGGCGCTCCCAGCTGTCTGCCCAGACCACCCCACGGCGGCCGAGCCGGAGTCGAGTGCCTGGAGGATTCGGGGCTCCCTGCGCTCGGGCCTCCCCTGTGTCGGGGGACCCTGGTGGGGGAGAGGGCTCCCGTTCAGCTTCCCCTGCTGTGGGCTCTTCCCCCGGCTCCTGCCTGGCCCTTGGACCTGCAGAAGGGGGGCCGCTCGGTCTGAGGCAGTAGCCCCGGCGTTGCCGGTCATGCCCTTCCAGTGGCCAAGCAGCGAGGCAGGGCTAAGGCATGGCCGGCTAGTGTGTGCCCAGCAGCTGCCCGCGGACCTGCACACGGGGGTCAGGTTTCTCTGAGCCCTGACGGGGCTTTGGGGTCCAGCTCCAGTTCCCAGGAGCGCTGGCTGGAGACTTAGACTCAGGGATTGGGGGGGAGGAGGGAGAGGGGAAGGGGTGCCACTTTGGTGGGAAAGGAGAGGAGCCCAATGGGTGCGGTGCCATCAAAGTCCATGGGAGACCCAGGCACCTGCAGGGATCCAGGCAATGAGTGGTATCAGCTTGTAAGATGGGCACCCCCAACAGGCCACGGGGGCGTGTCCCCCAACAGGCCACGGGGGCGTGTCCCCCAACAGGCCACGGGGCATGTCCCCCAACAGGCCACGGGGGTGTGTCCCCCAACAGGCCACGGGGGCGTGTCCCCCAACAGGCCACAGGGCATGTCCCACAACAGGCCACAGGGGTGTGTCCCCCAACAGGCCACGGGGGCGTGTCCCCCAACAGGCCACAGGGGCGTGTCCCAATTCAGGCACCTGTCCTGGGGGACACCCCCCATTGCTCACAGAGCCTAGCCGGGAGATGCTACCTTCGGTCCGGCCTACCCCCAGCTCCCCGATGGCCTAACCCCAGTGGCTCCCCCTACCAGGAATCCCAGCGTCCCTGAGGAGCCTACACCATTCCCAACAGTGAGGTTCCACTCTCTGACCTGACTCCACAGCGCCCGGGTTCGGCCAGTCTCCTCTCCTGTCGCCTGACTCAGGGCAGGGGGTGGGAGGGTGGGCTCTTCTGGGGGCCCCTCCCATCCTTGAAGACCGGGGTTCAGGCCCTCAGGCCCCTGTTCCAGGACTCGGACGCCACTGCTGCAGCCTCTCCCAGCAATGCCCGGCCACTGCCTCTGGCCCCCCCCCTCCCCCAATCCAATTCCAAGCCCAGGACCCAGTCCAGCTGGTGCTGAGCAGCAGGCGCACCTATCGGGCCGGAACCAGCGGCCGGGAGGCTGGGAGAAGCAGTTCCCGGTGGACGCACCCGGGGACGCCCTGCTCTCCCGCTGACGACAGGCCCGGTCTCTGTAAAGACTCTAGAGGCTTCTGTCAGCGTCTGGGTCCCGTCCACGTCTGGGGTGGGACATGAATAGCGTCCCCATTTCACAGGTGCGGAGCCCATGCCCTCGGCGGGGGAGTGCCTGGCCTCAGGGCCCGAAGCAGAGCGGGCACAGCGAGATCAGGGACCGAGGCCGCCACCTCATGGCCCACGCACGGCCCTCTGCAGCCCACGTCCCGCAGGACGCTCTGCCCCAGGCCCGACGTCCAGGAAGCTATCCGAGCACCAAAGGACAGAGACCCGGCCTCTACTCGGCCCTCACCGGGCGCCTGAGGGGGCGGGAGGGCCCCAGCGCCGTCCAGCACAGCCTGGATCCCGAGGACCAACCAGGACTCTCCTCCCCTGAGGCCGTGGCCATCATCTCCTCTTCCCTGGATGCACCCCGAGTCTTAGGATGGGTCCCCTGATCTCCCAGCCCCCGACGGCCTTAGAAAGCCCCTCAGCGCTCCCAGGGGGCACACATCACCCTCCCTCCCGCCGCCCGCCTCACCTGCCCGCTTCCTCTCGGCCAGCCCCTCCTCCTGGGCCGCGGGGCTGGCGTCGCTGTAGGCGCTGCCCCGGGGCGAGGTGTCCCCGGACTGGCAGTAGCCGGGCGACTGGAGCTGGGGCGGCCGCGGCACATGCTTCTTCCGCCGTTTGGGCAGCTTCTGCTTGGCCATGGCCAGCGAGTAGTACATGCCGAAGTTGTTGACGATGACGGGCACGGGCATGGCGATGGTGAGCACGCCGGCCAGCGCGCACAGCGCCCCCACCAGCATGCCCGACCACGTCTTGGGGTACATGTCCCCGTAGCCCAGCGTCGTCATGGTGACCACGGCCCACCAGAAGCCGATGGGGATGTTCTTGAAGTCGGTGTGGTCGTTGCCGCGCGGGTCGGAGGGCCGGGCGCCGATGCGCTCGGCGTAGTAGATCATGGTGGCGAAGATGAGCACGCCCAGCGCCAGGAAGATGATGAGCAGCAGGAACTCGTTGGTGCTGGCGCGCAGCGTGTGGCCCAGCACCCGCAGCCCCACGAAGTGGCGCGTGAGCTTGAAGATGCGCAGGATGCGCACGAAGCGCACCACCCGCAGGAAGCCCAGCACGTCGCGCGCCGCCTTGGACGACAGGCCGCTCAGCCCCACCTCCAGGTAGAAGGGCAGGATGGCCACGAAGTCGATGATGTTCAGCAGGTTCTTGACGAAGTCCAGCGTGTCCGGGCAGCACACGATGCGCACCAGGAACTCCAGCGTGAACCACAGCACGCACACGCCCTCGATGTAGGTCAGCACGGGCTCCGTCTCCACCTCCCGCCGGACGCGCACGTGGGTGGCGTTCCCCACTCGGAGGATCTCCGTCACGTTGCGGTCGATGTTGAAGGCCTCGTGGGTCTCCAGGCAGAAGGTGGTGATGGAGACCAGGATGAAGAAGAGGGAGGCGAAGGCCACCGCCTGCAGGGGGAGGCGGAGAGGGGGGGGGGCGTCGGTCAGACAGGGGTGGGCGAGCTTGGAAAGCGGGGAGGGTTGGGGAGCATGGGTCACCAGGAGGTCCATTAGAAAGATGGCCCTAACCGGTTTGGCTCAGCGGATAGAGCGTCGGCCTGTGGGCTGAAGGGTCCCGGGTTCGATTCCGGTCAAGGGCATGTACATTGGTCGCACGCACATCCCCGGTGGGGGAGTGTGCAGGAGGCAGCTGGTCAATGTTTCTCTCTCATCGATGTTTCTGGCTCTCTATCCCTCTCTCTTTCTCTCTGTAAAAAAATCAATAAAATATATTGAAAGAAAGAAAGAAGGAAAGAAAGAAAGAAGGAAGGAAAGAAAGAAAGGAAGGAAAGAATGAAGGAAGGAAGGAAGGAAGGAAGGAAGGAAGGAAGGAAGGAAGGAAGGAAGGAAGGAAAGAAGGAAGGAAGAAAGAAAGAAAGAAAGAAAGAAAGGAAGGAAGAAAGAAAGAAGGAAAGAAAGAAAGAAAGGAAGGAAGAAAGAAAGACGGTGAAGGGTGGGGTTTAAGTTCACAGCCAGGAGCTAAAATCCCCTCCTCAAAAATAAATAAATAAATAAATAAATAAATAAGTAAAATAAAAATAAAATCCCCTCCTCACAGGGTCTTGGCTGCAAGCGGCTGCCTATGGCTGCAGGGCCTGCTCACTGCGGCCTCTGCCCCTCGCTAACCCAGCTGTGCTCCGAGGCCTCTCAGACGGGCCGGGGAGTAAGTCACCAGGGGCTTCGTTAAGATGCCACCTGCCTCTGCGGGGAGGCCGGGACCTGAGGCTCCATCTTCCTGACGAGCTCGCAGCCCGGCTGCCTGTCCGCAGGCCGAGCCTGGCACAGCGAGGCTCCGGCAGTGTCCCTCCACGTGGGCGCTGGGCCGGCACACAGCGACACTGGGAACCGGTGAGAAACCCACATCCCCAGGCCCCGCCCCGGCCTGCGGAGCGAGCGAGGCTGGGGCACACTAACTCACCTCCCAGGGGACTCTGGGGCACGCTGCATGCTGGGATGTGCCGAGGCAGGGGGGTCGGGGGTGACCCTGGGCCTCTAAGGCAGCTGAGCCTGCTGAGCTCAGCTATGATCCCCATCCCATCCGGCAGCTCCCAGTCCGAGCCCCTCTCTCGCCTCTTGCCTTAGGATGCCCCAGCCGACGGGTCACTACCCCCACCTTCTCCCCAAACCGGCACTTCCCGGCCCCCGAGCTCCAAAGAACGCTCAGCAGCACCGCTTGGACCCCAGCGGGCAGCGGCCGGCCCAGACAGCTGCCGGGCTCCCGGCAGAGTGATGACAGCGGCCCTCGGCAGAGGCACGGCCGGGCTAAGTGTCCGATCGTTATGAATGGAGATGAAATGCATGTGTAATGACACCAATTACCGAGCTTTCATCTGTTATTCAGGCGACACCGCCATTCACCACTGTCAGGCTCCCTTATGCGGCTGGGGCCCGGGGCCCACCTGCTGCCTCTGCTGCTTGGTGGGTGGGGGTAGAGGTGGGTGAGGGGGGACCGTGGCCCCACCACCACCACTTGGCGACCCCCACGCCTGACTCCCACCTGGCCATGGCCTTGCGGTCTGAGGAGGCCCCGGAGCTGCTCTCCTCCAGGGAGACTGCACCTGGACGGGGAGGTGGGGGCAGCACTCGGCACCGGGAGGTCACGGGGGTCTGGGAACGCGGAGCAAGAGCAAGTGAGGAGGGGACTCTGGGCACGAACAATCCCGGCTGTCCGTTCCGTGCCGGGCACAGCAGGGCACTACGTGAGAAGCTGTTTTACGAAGGAGGAACTGAGGATCAGAGAGGTTAACAGACTTGCCTGATGCCACACAGCCCGCAAGCGGTGGGGGAGGACTTGAACTCGGCATTGCTTAACTCCACATCCACCTGTGCCACCACCCGGCCAGGGTCACTGCACAGGCCCTGGACAGTCCTCACTGAGTCGCCCATACTATCCCAGCCAGCCAGCTACCTTATGTGGACCACTGGCTTAGGGCAGACACCCATCACACACTAAGACTTACGTTCTTATTGATTGGGGGTGGAGCATTGATCAGTTGCCTCCCATATGCGCCTCACCAGAGATCGAACCCGCAACCTTGGTAACGTGTCCTGCCTGGGAATCAAACCCACGACCTTTTGAGGGCAGGGATGACATGCCAACCAACTGGGCCACGCTGGCCAGGGCAAGACTTATGTACACTTGGACAGGAACGGTGGATCCGACAGGGACAGAAGGATGGGCGAGGACCACAGACACACTTCCCCTGCTGCCCGCTTCGCCCCATGAAGGTGACGGTCAGGTTCTTCCCCTGGGAAACGGGCTGCCAAGGGCATCACATGGGCCAAGAGCTCGCCGTGGGGATGTGACGCTGGGGGCCCACGGTTCCAGCACCACCCTCCCCCTGGAAACAAAGGGGGTTGGGACAGGGGAGGGGGGACAGCACACCCCGCTCCGCCCAGAAGCACGGGGAGCAGGAGCCTGCTCTCCCAGGGAACATCAGCCAGGAGCGCGGCCCCTGGGGGCCGGTGTGCAGTCATTAGCGATTCAGACAAACAAGTGCTGGAAGGGCTGCGGGGGGGCGGGGCAGGGGTGCAGAGGGGGGCAGGGTGGGGGGACTGTGTGCCCTGGGCCAGTCTCACCCCACAGGCCCAGGAGCCCGCCTGGGGCCTCCCTCCCCTGCTGCCCCAGGGTCAGGCCTGGGCACCTGACCAGGCACCTTACATGGACTGTACCTGGAACCACCAATCAGCACCTGCCCAATACCCTAAGCCCCCATTCCTAAGTCCCTAGGTCCCTAATCATGTGCCTTACGTGAAACCACGAATCAGCGTGTGCTGAGAGCCCTAAGCCCCGTCCCTTCCTTTCCCTTCACCCCAGCCTCGCGCTCTCTCCCCTCCGGAAGGCAGCTGGCAGTCTCCTCTGACAGAGCCTGTGTCCTGGTCTCCTGGTCTCCGTTTCACCTTTCAGAGGGGGCCTATTTCAAACAGGGTGGTCAGGCACGGCCTCCAAGCCAAGGGGCCATCTAAGCAGAGACGGAGCAGTGAGGGATGAGCTGGGAGGCAGAGGGCTGTGCCAAGGCCCTGGGGCCGGGGCGTGCTTGATGTGTTGCAGGAAGGAGAGGCGTCCTTCCCTTACAGAGCTGCTTTGAGGATGAAAAGAAGTGATAATTGCACAGTTCAGCACAGCGCCCGGAGTGTCTCGGGACTCTGGCTCAGGCCAGGGGCGGTTGGGAGGTGACGGACACCCGTCATTGGGAACCGAATACAACCAGCGGGGCAGGGAGGGATCCCACAAATGAAGGGCCAAGGAGACAGAGGGACAGATGCACATAAGGAGACTCAGCCCCAAAAGCCTATATTAAGGACGGAGTGTTGGAGAAGAGGAGCCTGAGAACCCAGCCAGAGACGCTTGCAGAGGAAGATCTGGGGCTGAGGTGAGGCGGGGAAGCAAGATCCTAGCGCCCAGGAGGCGCAGGGAGGGCGTGGGCAGCCCGCAGCCAAGAGGAGCCAAGGAGCTGGCCTGCAAGGCAGGTGGAGCCTGGGCTCCTGGGGCAGGGCCTGCATCTCGAGCCCCAGGTTCGAGCCCAGAGACGCTCGCTCCCAGAGGAGCAGAACCGGCCCACCGGCTCCCATGCCCAGAGCCGGCCTCTGTCTAACCCACCCTCCGCCAAGTGAGCGCTCGGGGCCCCTGAGCGGCCCCCGAAGGCGTGCAGTCCAGCCCAGACCGCCGGCCAAGAACGATCCAGCCCACAGTGCCCATCCCTGTCCCCAGCTGTCAGAACGAGGGCAGGGCTCCCTGGTCCTCATGGCATGGGCAAGCACTGCCCCCTCGGGAGGTGTATTTATAACCCTCCTCCTTCCAAACCCGGCTTCGGGGAGCCGCGTCGCCCTCCTGCGGGGCCTCCCGGCTCACCTCCCAGCTCCTCCCGAGGCGCCTGCCACCACCCCCACCGGCCCGGGGAGAGGTGGGACTTCGCACTTCCTCCTCTCACCTCCTGCTGAACTCTGCATGTTAAGACGGGGACACAGCTCCTGTCTACCTTGTCAGGACCATTTCCGGTCCCCCAACTTCCCCGACAGCCACCTGCCATACCTGGCCGGGCTCTTTCCAGGAACAAGCACCACCTCGGACCCGTCTTTATAGTTAGAGCCCGGCTCGGTGCCGGCACGCAGTAAATGCTCGAGAAATGTCTTCGTAGTGACTGCTGCCGAGGGGGCTGTGGCTCCCTCCCCTGGTCCTGGGGAGCCTGTCTCCAGGAGAGATATCAGCTCCCCTAACTGGGGGGGACAGGTATGCCAGGAACCCCTCCAGGCACCTGGGCGCTCCGACTCTGGCTCTCCGGTTGGGCCGAGTCTACTGGCTGATGGGGGCCCTGCCGGGGACCGGGTAACCATCCCCCAGCCTTGAACCCTCAGCAGGGCGCTGGGCAGAGGTCCTGCCAGGGAGGCTGCTCAGGCACAAGGATGGCATGAGTGCCCTGGTGCCCGGCTGACACTCTCCATGGCAGAGGGGAGAAGAGGAGAGAGGGAGGGAGAGGGAGAGGAGGAGAGGGGAGGAGCCTGGGCTCCCTGTCCCCAAGGCCCAGCTGCCTGACTCTGTTCTTACCTCCTCTCCCCCCCCACTCTCCAAAATAGTCCCCGTTTGTGTCATCCCTCCCCCCCCCTTCACACCCAGCCCCCCACGGTGACGGAAACACCTCTTCCTCCAGAGACAAGATGTTCAAGAGGCAAACGCGGGGCTGTGAGAACCAGAGCGGAAACACAAACCAACCCCGGAGGACATGGAGGGCCTCAGGCGGGTGGGGGCTGTGGCCGGGCCCGCGGGCACCCGGCTTGGCCGGCAGGCTCTCCCTACCCGAGGGCGGAGGACCAGGAGTCCTGCCCTCACTCGGAAGCCTGCCCAGGCTGGGAAGTCGGGGCCGTAGCAGGCTGAGGACCTCGCTGGGCGCTTCCCTTCTAGAGGGCCTGGGCTTCGGTCCCCTGCCTGCGCCAAGGTCGCTGGTCTCCTTTCTTTTGTCCTAGGACAGTCCCACCGGGAGAGAACAGGGAGCGAGGAGCCAGCTCCAATGGGAGCAAACCCGGGATGGAGGCGGGGCTTCGGGGGGAGCTGGGCGGGAAGGGGCAGGTCCTCCTGAGTCACAGGCCTCCACAGAGGCACCGGGAGAGGCAGCCTGGACACCTGAGGTCTGTGTGACCTTGAGCCAGCCCCTCCAGGTCTCAGTTCCCTTCTCTGTAAACCAAGAACAATGCCTGCCTCGCAGGGGCCAGAGGAGACATTGGAAGCAAGCAGAGGTGACACCTGACGCACGGCAAATGCCTAATGGCCATGAAATGGAGGCTCCAGGGCCTTCCTGGGGTGGCGGGATCCTGTGCCTCACGTCCTCCATGCCTAAGGGTGGCGGTGGCGTGGGCAGACCCGATCCAAGGACTGGTTTAGCCGAAGGATGACCACCCTGAGGAGGGCTGATAAGTGAGCCCGGCCCCTGGCACCCGTGCAGACGGTGGGGGAGGGGAGCGTCCCGGGTCCCCTCCATCAGGCCTCCAGCCGGCCTGGAGAGGAGGAGGAGGTCCTGACTCTGCAGCCCTGGATGCCGCCCAAACCGCTGCCGGTCCCTCTGGGGCTGGGAGCCACCCTGCCTGAGGCTGAGCCCAGGGGGACCGAGACGGTGGGCAGGCGCGGTCGGGAACCAGGCACGGCCACCTCTGGGTCCAGCCGCAGGGAAGGGAGCAGGGTACACCCCCCACCTGAACTCGGAGCTGCCTGGGCCAGGCCGGTAGCTAGGCAACAGGCTCCCACAATCCGCTCGGCTCCCTTCCTGCTGGTGTCTGGTTTGCTCCGTCATGTGTACCAGATGCTGGTACCCAGGGGTGCCTGGGTCCCACTGGCTCTCGGTGAGGACCCCGAGGCCGCCACCAGGGAAGGTCCGCGCACAGACCCTGGGGTCAGAAGCAGGGCTTTCTGGGAAGCCAAGAGGTGCCGCTTCTTCCTGCAGCAACACACGTGGGCTCAGCACCAGGCAGCCGCGCTGGCCACTGGCCTGGGAGCCTGCAGGGCCCGGCATCCAGCACCTTCCGGGCTAACTCTCCCTCCCCCCGCACACCCCAGCTGTGCAAGAAGCCTCAGGGGCAGGGGACGGGCAGGCATCTGGTCACCCTGAAGAGGCCTCTCCCAAACCCAGGCCACGGGCCATGAGTTCTGGGCCCAGCTCTGCCTTTTATGAGCAGAAGAGGCACCGCCCACACCCCCCAGACCCAGAGGGGTGAGAACATAAGGGTCACTTCTGACATCACCGTCTGCCCCGGGGTGTTCTGATGTCACCCACAAGAGGTGCACACCCTCGCAAAACAGCCTCCTTCGGGGGGGGGGGGGGAGGCTGGGAAGCTGTTGTAACGGGAGGAGGGGGTGCTTGGGGGGCCGGGGAGCCCTGGCTTTGATTCTCAGCTGCCACCATCCACCATGGGCGGTGCGATCTGACAGGTTTATCCTCTCTCAGCCTCCAGCTATTAACTGGGGATGATACCTCCTCTGCAAACGTATGGGGGGGGGGGGGGATTAGAGATTAGTGCAGAGGATGTGCACCGCGTGCTCAATAAATAGCTGTTATTCGTTTGTTAAATTCTCTATTTTCATTCGTGTCCCAGGAATAGCTGCCGGCTCGCCTTGGCCCGGGGCCTGGGCAGGAGGCACACGCTCTCCGGCCGGGGCCGCCACAGCCCGGGGCAGCTGGCACATCAGCCTAAGGACCGGTGCTGGAGGCTCACCGAGGGGGGGGGGGGGGCGCCTGGCGCTGCTGTCAGCTCAGTGTCTCTGAGGAGACACTTCCCGGCTCTGAGTCTTGAATGAACCCTGCCTCGCCCCAATCCCCAGCCTCACCTGACCGCCCTGCGGATGGGGCTCTACACCTACAGGGCAAAGATGTGGGTTCCTGGCCGACTTCAAGGGGCTGGCTTGGCTCTGAGCCCGACTCAGAGCCCCCTGGCTGGGCCACGCTTTGATGAGCTGAAGAAAGAAAAATGAACTCCTCGATGTCACAGCCCCCTGGAGTCCAAGAGGGAAGAGCCGGAGAAGTCTGGTTCTCTGCAAGTCCCTCTGAAAGTCCCCTGAGGTCCTACAACGCTCAGGAAGAGGGTCTGGGCCTCCCTGGCTTGTCCCACCTCCATCAAGCTCAGTCTGCCTCCGGCTCCCTGTCCCTCACTCGGGAAGAGCCTGAATGGCCTGCACTTGTCTCTGCCCGCCCAGTGCACACAGCCAGGGTCGGGGAACTGCCTGGAGAGGCCACAGAAGTCACAGCAGCCCCAGGCCGGGGCTCGGCTGGGCCCCCCGCCTTCTGAGCGCGTCTCAGGCGCAGGGAAGAAACAAGGGCAGCTCCCTAGCTTCACCCTCTGGCCTGAAGGTCCCTTGGCTTCCGGGGGCTGCCCTGGGACGCCCACAGCCCAGCCTGGCATCCATGACCTCCGAGCCCCCTGCTCCCCCTTCTCTGCCCCGGTCCAGCCCAGCCTGGCCCCTCCCGGGAGCCCCATCCCCAGCTCCTGCCTTTCTTTCCAGGACTCGACTGAGGCCCGGCACAGGGGATGCTGGGAGGGCAGCAGGGCTCCAGACTCACTAGCACGACGGCCTGGGATACTAGGGGTGGCAGAACCAGCTTCCGCAGCAGCAGGCAGTCCCCGGACCCCACACATTGGTCCCGACGGATCCTGGCCAGGCTTCAGGCTGCCAGCCAGGAGGTCAGACACCAGCCCCAGGGGCCTTTTCCAAAGAAGCTGAGCCATCCTTCATGGTTGTTTTCTAGCTGCCCAAGCATGTCTCCCGGTCCCCCCCCCCCTTCCTCCTAAGGGGGTTTGGGGCAACTGGATTGACCTGGGGGAGGGTCCCGGAAGGGTCTAAGCCACCCCCACTCCCACCCCATACACCCATTTCAAGCAGAACCCTGAACCAGGGCTTTCTGGGAAGCCAAGAGGTGCCGCTGCAGGAGGAAGCGGCAACACACATGGGCTCAGCACCAGGCAGCCGCGCTGGCCATTGGCCTGGGAGCCTGCAGGGCCCGGCATCCGGCACCTTCCCGGCTAACTCTCCCTCCCCCCCGCACCCCCAGCTGTGCAAGGAGCCTCCTGGGTAGGGCACGGGCAGGCATCTGGTCACCCTGAAAAGAGGCCTCTCCCAAACCCGGGCCCCAGGCATGTCCTGGTCCCGGCTCTGCCTTTTGTGAGCAGAAGAGGCCGAGGCTGGCGCCCGCCTCCCTAAAACCCCGGCTCCCACCACTGAGGTGCTGGGGGACTTCACGAGGGGGCTCCCCGGAGACAGCGCGTCCAGGGCCTGCCACAGCGTAGGCACTGACCCTCTAGCTTCTTCCCTGAACCCTGTCTGACCCTGGCAGAGGCCTGAGTGTGGCTCTCCAGGACTCTGACCCTGAGGAGGGGTGGGGCGAAGAAGAAGGGGGCCTGTCTTCCCAAGGGGGTGGAGAGCCCCGCTAAGGGCCCCCCACTGGCTGGGAGGGGGTGCAGCAAAGCAGGCTGGTCCACGTAGTAAGTCAAGTGTGTGCGATTTCATGATGAGGCATGCAGGGGAGATGGGATGTGTGTGTGTGTGTGTGTGTGTGTGTGTGTGTGTGTGTGAGAGAGAGAGAGAGAGAAAGAGTGAGAGAGAGAGAGATGGGTCCCTGGGGCCCACGGAAGGCACAGGAAATTGGGAGGAAAGCACAGATGCCCCTACCCACCACCCACCACGCGCCTCCTTGCAGACCTGAGCCATGCATGACCCCGGCTCCCGCCACTCACCCTGGCCGCCCTGGAGGAGTAGGGGTCCTCGAAGAGTGCCCACATGCGGGGCTGCCAGCCGCGGCAGCCCCCGGGCCCGGACCCGGCGCCGGAGCCCGCGCCGCCGCCCTCGTGGGGCCCCAGGCGCTGCAGGGCCAGCTCCCGCTCGTCGTCGCCGGCCTCGTCCCCGGGCCCCGCGCCGCCGCCGCCGCCGCCGCCGTCCGGGTTCTCGAAGATGTCCAGCGCCTCCTCGGCGTCGCGGTGCTGCCGGTAGGCCATCCAGCAGCAGGGCTCCACGTCCGTCTCGTCGATGCCCCAGAAGGTGAGCTCCTCCTCGAACAGCGGCCCGCACACGTCGGCGGGGCAGTGCAGCTTGCCGGTGCGGTAGTAGTTGAGCACGTAGGCGAAGACGCCCGGGTGCCGGTCGAAGAAGAACTCGCAGCCCCCGCCGCCCCCGCCGCCCCCGCCGCCGCCGCCGCCGCTGCTGCCGCCGCTGCTGCCCGCGCCGCCGCCGCCGCCGCCGCCGCCGCCGCCATCGGGCTCGGGCCGGGCGCCGCCGTCCGGGTCGGCCAGCCAGGCCAGGCGGGTGCCGGGCAGGGTGCGCAGGGTGCTGCGGTAGGTCTCATGTCGCGTGCCGCCCACGTTGATGACGATCTTCTCCGACGCCTCGCCCTTGGCCATCTCCTCCTTCAGACATGTTTTGGACGGAGGCTTGTTCCCCGACTTGCGCCCGCGGTAGGAGGACACGCACACCGAGCTGATCATAAGCGGCGCTGCGGGGCTCCGGCGCGGGGCGGCCGCTGCCCTCCAAACACCCTTCCCGAGGCGGCGGCGGCGGCGGCGGCCGGAGGGCGGGGGCGGCGGGCGGCGGCGGCGGCCCCTCGGCGGCGCGGCCCTGCCCCGGCTCCCCCCGGGGCGCGGAGGGGCGGGAGGCGCGGGAGGGGCGGGGTGTCCCGGGTGCACAGGTGGTTGGGGTTGGGGCACGCGGCGCCCGGGAGGCAGCAGGCAGGCGGGGGGCAAGGAGCGCCGGAGCCCCCGCGAGGGGCCGGGTGCGGGAGGGAGGGCGGGGGGGAGCGCACGCTCTTCCCCGCTAGGAGCGGGCACTCAGACACTCGCGCCCGGACACGGCCCCCAACACCCCGGGAGGGACACGGCCCCCAACACCCCGGGAGGGACACGGCCCCCAACACCCCGGGAGGGACACGGCCCCCAACACCCTGGGAGGGACACGGCCCCCAACGCCCCGGAGGCGCACGGCCCAGGCGCACGGCTTGGCTCGGGCGCGCTCACTCACACGGGCCCCGGCTCCGGCCGCACCGAGCCCGGAGCGGCGGCCTCCCCGCGGCGGCGGCGCAGCAGCAACAAGTCCTCCGGGGCCGGCGAGGCTCTCACGGCAGCCGGGGCTCCTCGGGTCCGGGCTCCGGTCGGTCAGCCCGCGGCGGCGGCGGCATGTGGCGGCTTCTCCCCATTCACAAACCCAGCGCGGGGCGCCGAGGGCGGGCGGGGCCGCGCCGGGAGCGGCGGTCGGGCGGGCGGGGGCCGCGCGGGGCGAGGCGGCGGCAGGAAAACAAGCGCCCGCAGCAGCGAGCTCCGGCCCTGCGTCCGCGGCGGCGGCTGGGAGCGGCGGGGCCGGGACCGCGCCGGGCGGAGGGGGTCCCAGACGGGGCGCCGATCCCGGGGGGCGGGATGCTCCGGGGAGCGCGGCTCCGGGCGCCGGCGAAGGAGCCTCCGGGCCGCGCGGCCAAGGACACCTGCGGGCTCTCCGGGCGGCGCGGAGCGGGAGCCTCAGCGCAGCGCCCCGGCGCCAGGCTGCTGCGATCTGGCGGCGCCGGGAGCCGGGCCATCCGCGCGTCGGCCCATCTCCGGGCGGGGCGCCGGCCCTGGCGCGCGGCGGGGGGCGGGCGGGAGGCGGCCTAAGGCGAGGGGAGCGGGGGGGCCGAGGTCCGGGGGGTCAAGAGGCTCCTCGCCTCCCGCCAGCGAGACCAGCGGGCACCGCTCTCCCTCCGGTGGCGCCTTTTCCTCCGGCCCCGCCTGGCCCGGAGCGCCCTCCGCGGGGCGGGCGGGGTGGGCGGGGCGCGGCGCGGGGCCGGGCCGGCTGGCTGCGGGGTCCCGGCGGCCGGATCGCAGCCTGTCCCCGCCGATCCGAGCCCCGCCGCGGCGCGTCACCCTCTCGCCACCGGCGCCCAGCCGAGCGCGCCGCCCCGCGCGCCCCCGCCGCCTCCCCCTCGGCCCCCTCCGCCCCGCTCCCCGAGCCCCCGAGACCGCAGCTCCTCCCACTGCAGCCCCGGGACCGCGGAGCGCGCCTCACCCCTGACCTCTGACCTCCGTTCGCCCCTCTGGCTGCTTCGGTCGCCCCCTCCCCGCCCAGCCGGGCGCATGGTTGCGGTTGCATTGCGGCTGCCTGCAGGCGGGGGAGGAAGACGAGCGGCAGCCCCCTCCTGCTCCAGACTCCGAGCTGGGGCCTCCTGACCACTCACTCCACCCGCAGCCTGCGCCTGCTGGGCACCGCCAGGCCCAGATGTCCGTGGTCTGGACGCTGACAGTGTCTGTCACACTCACAGAGCCTCCTGGTGGCCCGGGAGACCCTTGGGGCTGCTGACAGTGGGCCTGAAAGATGGCTAAGTTAAGCCTTGGCTCACCGATGCCTGGGGACACGTAGGAGGTGCGGCCCTGCCCTGGGACCCCCTCCGGGTCCTGCTGAGGCGATGTGACCTCGCCCTTTGTTGTCTTATCCACCGCCCCACCCTGAGCCGCCTCCCCCTGATGCTCCCCCCCCCCCCCCCCCGCGCCCGCCCTGAGAACTTGTTTGCTAAGTGACTGCAAAGCTGCCATGCCCAAAACATTGGGCACCAACAGCTTTGACTGGCCTCATCCCAACAGCAATTCCCAGATTCGTTTGTGTTTAGGTCCAGAACCTCTTAATCTTTAAATTAAGCCTCTTAAAGAAGAAGAAAAAAAAAAAAAAAAAAGCAGTTTCAGGCAGCCTCCATACATCCGTCAGGGTGAGGGGAGGAGGATCTTAAGGCAGAAATGCAGGTGAGGGAGGCACCTGCCCGGGCAGCTGTGCACCGGCCCGCCTCCTGGTCAGGAGCGCCTGGCTGTCCGGGGACAACCAAGACAAGGGCCCGCGGCAAAGGGAAAAGCCCTGTGCCAGTTCAAGGGATTCTTCTGAGCAAACGTCTCCTATAGAATGAAATCAGGAAAAATAAAGGAATGGAGGCAGAGCTCAGCCGGCTTGGCTCGGTGGCTGAGCCTCAACCTATGGGCCAAGAGGTCATGGTTCGGTTCCCAGTTAGAGCACGTGGTTATGGGCTCAATCCCTAGTGTGGGGCATGCAGGAGGCAGACGATCAATGATTCTCATCATTGATGTTTCTGTCTCTCTCTCCCTCTCTCTTCCTCTCTGAAATCAATTAAAAAATGTGGTTTGTTTTTTTTTTTTAAAGAATGAAGCCAGAAAACCAAAATGACAATGATCTTTGATGATCTATACTGATATGCCGAGGAGGTGGGTACCATCTGGGCTGTAGTCAGAAACACACACTCACTGGCACCCCTTTCGAATCTAGTCCCACCCCCACCCCCACCCCTAGGACATGGTGTCTGCACTTGAGAGTTCAGTTGGCTCTGAGTTTGCTGCGGCAAAATAAGAAAAACCCCAAATGTGACCGGCAAGGGAAGACCTGGGCCCGGCCGAAAACCGGAGCGAGGAAGGAAGAGCCACAGCGAGGACAGTAATGAACCAATGGGGATGACTGGCTGCACAGTCCCATCCGGCCAGGCACCTCTCCCCCACCTCCCGTTCTTCACGCTGCCTGACCTCAGTCATCCCAGAGGAGAGGTGAAAGCCCACCTTACTTCCGAGTCACCTGCTCATTCAGTTAGTATTTCTTGCCGAAACCGGTTTGGCTCAATGGATAGAGCGTCGGCTTGGGGATTGAAGGGTCCCGGATTCGATTCCGGTGAAGGGCATGTACCTTGGTTGCGGGCATATCCCCAGTAGGGGGTGTGCAAGAGGCAGCTGATCGATGATTCTCATCTATATTTCTAACTCTCTATCTCTCTCCTTTCCTCTCTGTAAAAAATCAATATAATATATTTAAAAAAAAAAAAAACAAACAAAAAAAAAACAACCAGTTAGTATTTCTTGAGGGCCCAAAGCTGTTCTAATAAAACAAACCCTAGTCACCCTCTGCCTCTTGGAGCTTGCATTCTGCGGTGTTTGCAGATGGTGTTCCATTCCTCCAGGACCTTGGCGTGTGGGGAGCTGGGTGGAGGGAGAAAGCTGCCGGGGGACAGGAGACCTGGAGGGGAGGGAGGTCAGAGAGCTGGCGGTGAGGTAAGGGAACCTGGAAGAGCCAAGGAGATCAGAAGGCCCAGCCTGGGAAACACGGCAGGAAAGGTGCCCTGGGTGGGAGGACCCCAGACTCCAACCACGGATGGGCTCCTGGCTGGACTGGGGAGCTCAGCCTCGGCTCACGGCCTGCAGAGAAGGCCTCACCCTGTGCGAAGGGTTTGATGCTAGACTCTGGGCTAATTTGTCCCTGGGCCTTTCTGGAACTTTCTGGGTGACTGAGTATGCTGCAGTGGGCATCCTAAGGCTTGTCCCCCATCAGTTCTGTGTGTATGAGGTCATGCCATTTCCCCAAAGCCTGGAACCCAGGGAGAGCCCCCTGCCTGCTGCCTGCGGTGGGAGTCTACTGTGGATGGGTGGGTGCTGCCCCCTCGTGGTGCTAGGAGGCCCTGCACCAGCCCTCACATCAGCTGGGGGCAGTGATGATGAGAAAAACGGGCTACAAGGCCCAGGGTGAGGAACCCTGGCTCTGGATTTCCTGTCAATCCCAGGGCCTCCTGCAGTGCTGGCAGCTTAACTCCTAGTGGGGACTCTGTCTGCTGCCTTCCTTTCCCACTCCTCCAAGACAGGCATGAGCAAGGCTACGGAGCAGTCAAGTTGGACATTCCTAAGTCTGTTTCTTTCCCTCCATGGCCCCCGGTTCTCCACCTTCGGCCCCTGGTGCTGTGGTACCTGCTGGTGGTCAGGAAGGAGCATCTGTCTAGGATACAGGTGACCAGACGTCCTGCTTTTGGCGGGACAGTCCCGATTTTTAACAATTTGTCCCGCGTCAATCGGGACTTTTTTAAAACGCCGTGCGACAAATTGTTAAAAACCGGGATTGTCCTGCCAGAAGCGGGACGTTCCGCCACCTTTATCCTAGACAGTTGCTCCTTCCAAATTTTTAACAATTTGTCCCGCGTCCCGCGGCGTTTTAAAAAAGTCCTAATTAAGGCAAAACCGGTTTGGCTCAGTGGATAGAGCGTCGGTCTGCGGACTGAAAGGTCCCAGGTTCCATTCCGGTCAAGGGCATGTACCTTGGTTGCGGGCACATCCCCGGTAGGGGGTGTGCAGGAGGCAGCTGGCCGATGTTTCTTTCTCATCGATGTTTCTAGCTCTCTATCTCTCTCCCTTCCTCTCTGTAAGAAAACCAATAAAATATATTTTTTTTAAAAAAAGAAAAAGAAACTCTCTCTTAAAAAAAAAAAAAAAAAAAAAAAAAAAAAAAAAAGTCCCGATTAAAACGCTGCAGGACGCGGGACAAACTGTTAAAAATCGGGACGTCTGGTCGCCTTAGTCTGGGAGCCAGGTCAGGCGGGAGTGACAGCCACAGGGCCTTCCTCCCCAGGAGTCGAAGCGTGGCCAGCAACGAGGGAAACCCGTCTTGATTCCTGAGGGACACAGGTGGGGCTTTTAAACCTGTAGCGTTTCTAGGACCCATCACCCAGGCCCCTGTCCTCAGCCCTGAGGCTGACCCCCCTGGGGCGAGCTCAGCCGCTTTGGGGTGACCGGAGCCCTCCATCTCCTCTTCGGGCTCTGCTTGTCTCCAAGGGGGGGCTCCAGGCCTGGAAGCAGGTCCCACAGCCGCCAAGACAAGACCCTGCCCTTGGCCACTCCCGCCTCCCCCTGGTGGCCTTCCAGCTCCTTCCTGCCAGGAGCCACCCCCTTCTCCCTCGGGTCTGGGTCAAGGAGCCAGTGTCCTCTCCCAGCCTGACCCGCTCCCAGCCCAGCTAATTGAGTTGCTTTATCAGCCATCACCACGGAGGGGAGGGCGATGGGGGACGGAGGAGGGAAGGCAGGGTGAGAGGAGGCTGCCAGCATCCGGATAGCTTATCGGTTGATTTAACCCCGCCCCACCTCTGGAGCCCCACAGGGTCACGCAGTCTCCAACCCAAACGCTGAGCGCCTTCCCAGGCCGGTCTGGGGAGGACTCAGCGTGGAGCACAGCCACGGCCCCGTGGGGGTCAGCGGAGCGGCTCTGCACAGGATGACGGCAGGGTTCGGGTGGCTGTGAAAACCCTAGTGGAGGTGCATGTGGGGCTCCAGGGAGCCCCAAGATGGCCTCGATGGCCCAGCTCTTCAAGGGGAAGAGCCAGAAGGGTGCAGGCCGCACGCTCAGGCCCGGCCAGCACTCAGAGCCTTGCAAAGCTCGGACTTGGAATCCAGGGGCTGTGAGGGGCCTGAGGACCTGCTCCCAGGCACGTCCTCCTTGAGAGGTTTCCGGCCGCAGGAGCAGCCATGATCTCTGGGGACTGAGCTGCGCCCGGGGCTGGGCCGAGGGCAGCGAGCGACCCAGGGGCCCACGTGGCCTCTGGTTCACGGGAGCACAGGGCCGGGGCCGGCTAAGGGGCCCAGCGCCCAGCCTCCGTCCAGAGCGCACGCACGTACCTTAGCTCCGGGCCCAGCCGGCGAGACTCAGCACTCGGCGCGCCTCCACCTCCATTCCTCCCACCTGGGCTGAGTTCCAGCGGGACCGTTCATCCCATTAGGGCGGGTCATCCGTCCTGCTGGG